TTTTTTTTTTTTTTTTTTTTTTTTTTTTTTTTTTTTTTTTTTGAAAAGTAAGAATTTTTTTTGCTAAGTTCTTCCTTTATTTTTAATACGTTTCTAAAATGGTCTAATTTTAATTTGTTACACTACATTATATATCATTAATTCAGGTTTGTTTCCTTCCAATTTCTTTAGGTTATACTTTTTTATTTATAAGTTTAACCTTTTAAATTGGTTATGAAAGCAGGCTTAAAAAAGTTACAAATATAATATTTTTATTTATTAAGTTTAACTTTTAAAAATGGTTATCAGGCTTTAAAAAGATTAAAATAAATCAAAAACACTCTTTAATTTTAAAATTTTTGGGTATGGTTATTAAAATAATTTTAAAAACTAAAATTAGATATGGTTTTTTATTTTTTTAAAAAAGTTTATAGTTTTTATAAACTAGAAAAAAAACTAAAAAAATTATAAACTTTTTTTTAATAAAAAATTACATCTAATTTTAAGTTTAAGTTTTAAAAATGAAATAGTTACCAAAAACAAGCTTAAAAAAGTTAAAATATAGTTTTCAAAAACACACTTTAATTTTAAAATTTTGAGTATGATTATTAAATATTTTTAAAAACTAGGAAAAAAAATTAAAATGAGACGAATATTTTTTTTATTTATAAGTTTAACTTTTAAAAATGAAATGGGCATGAAAGCAGGATTAAAATAAATAGCTTTAAAAACACTTTAATTTTAAAATTTTAAGAATTATGGTTTACTAAAATATTTTTAAAAACTAGAAAAAACTAGATATTGTTTTCTATTAAATAAAAGCTTGATTTTTTATTTATATGTTTAACTTTAAAAAATGAAATGGTTATCAAAGGCTTAAAAAACTAAAAATAAATAGTTTTCAAGAAGCCTCCTTAATTTTAAAATTTTGAGTATCATTAATAAAATATTTTTAAAAACTATGAAAAAACTAAAATTAGATATTATTTTTTATTTAAAAAAAGTTTATTGTTTTTATTTATAAGTTTAACATACTTTAAAAAAATTAAAATAAATAGTTTTAAAAAACACCCTTTAATATTAAAATTTTGAGTATGATGATTTAAATATTTTAAAAAACTAGAAAAAAACTAAAATTAGGTGTTTTTTATTAAAAAATAAGTATGGATATTAAAATATTTTTAAAACTAGAAAAAACTAAAATTAGAGGCAGTTTTTTTATTAAAAAAAAAAGTTTATATTTTATTTTTAAGCTTAACTATAAAAAAAATTAAATGGTTATCAAAGCATGCGATCATGAAAACCGTATCATGCACCGGTGATCAGGCCTAAACAAACCTTATTTTGGCTATCATGCACCGGTGATCAAGCCTAAACAAACCTTATTTTGGCTACCATGCATCGGTGATTAGGCCTAAACAAACCTTATTTTGGCTACCATGCACCAGTGATCAAGTCGAAACAAACCTTATTTTGGCTATCATGCACCGGTGATCAAGTCGAAACAAACCTTATTTTGGCTATCATGCACCGGTGATCAAGTCGAAACAAACCTTATTTTGGCTATCATGCACCGGTGATCAAGTCGAAACAAAACTTATTTTGGCTATCATGCACCGGTGATCAAGTCGAAACAAACCTTATTTTAGCTACCATGCATCGGTATAAGCACTGAGTCTAAGTCTGCACTGAGTCTAGCTTGGATTTTGATTGAAATTGTTGCAATTCACCACCAAAAGAAAACATGCTTGAAATTAATTGTCAAAATAAAATCTTAATCAATGTATTTCTGAGATTCAAAATCTCTATACCCTACTTACACAATTAATGTGCTAAAAAAAATGATTAAAATCAATTTTATAAAATGAGAATCAAACAGTCAATAGACAAATTGACTAAATTCAAATGATTAAAATCCAAACCCAAAGAGTTAACCCAAACCTAACGGAGCAACAAACTTTCAATTATTTAGTATTGAAAAATAAACCTACAACACTATCATGCACGCCAATGGAACTTTTTTTTTGAATGATGATAATAAAAAAGGAAAGAAAAGGCAAAAATCAAGTAGGCTAATTAAAGAAAACGGCTCCAGCTGTAGGAAAACATGTCTAAGAAAATAATTTCTAACCCCCTCCCCCAAGTTAACTAACCTCCCACCTAACCAAGGTTGACCCTTTTCTCTTTTTCTACCATTTTCAAAGGAAATTGTGCATAAACTTTTCAATATTCTTGCAAACTGTGCACAGGTCTCTAAAAAGTTAGAACTAATGAATCGGAGTTGGAAAATATTTCTTTTAAGAGTAATCTTTTTCTAACTTTGTTTACCACCGAATTTCAAAAGGTGGTGAATTTGAATTTAATTTCGAGAGGTGACCCAACTACGAGAAGGAAAATTATCCAACTTAACAACTCACCATTTATGCCCAACTCCTAAATTTCTCATCATTGCAATTAAGCCACATATTTTAGCATCGACTCGTATTAATCTTAAGCTCAAACAAATCTTCAAAGAAGGTTAAGTATGATTCAAGATCTAAGAGCAAAACTTCATTTTCAAGCAAAAAAATAAATAAAAATAAAATAGTATTATCTACAAATTTTAGGTGGCAAATAGGCATGTTCTTCTTTTCAACCTCAAGGGCTCAATAATTTTTCCAACAATATTTTTAGCAACAAGCAGGCTTAGAACACTCAGCAACAAGCAAGAACAAGCAAAAAAAAGGGGGGGGGGGGGGGGGGG